ACCAAACAACTCAACTTTGGTTTCATCTGTCCACAGAATATTTTGCCAGTAGTGCTGTGGAACATCCAGGTGCTCTTTCGCAAACTTCAAACGTGCAGCAATGTTTTTTCTGGAGAGCAGAGGGTTCCTCTATTTTATGACCAATTTATGCAGAAATCCAGGTAATTCCAAAGGGTTCACATACTTTTTCTTGCAACTGTACTTTTAAACATCCATTTTGTAATTGCAGTGGGATTTTCTTGTCTTATCAATTCTCCACATCTTTTTTATACCTTTTGACGTTTCCAATTCATAATAATAGTATTATACATTTCAAAATAATAATGTCAAAGAAAATGGTTAAAAGATGCGTTTCTGTACATTATTTTCACTACCGTTTGGCTAGCCCAAGAAAAGACACGGCTGCCTGTGTTAAGGGTGTGTTTGCAAAGGAGCTCATTTTGTCGGTGTTATGTTTGTTAAAAGGATTACGGACAGGATTTATGTTTATAAAACTTTGTAGAAGAGTTTAGTAGTAGCCAAGGAAGAAACAATTGAAATGTTGAAGTGGACCCAAATCACATATAGCAGATACAAAAGTACTTTAACAGTTTAATTCATATAATTTCAATCAACATTTCAGAGTGCCCTTGCAAATGCTTCTAAATGAAACGTTTGAATGATAAGAGGAGGAAGGTTGTGTTCTTCTCACTAAGTCTGAAATTTCTCCAGTTGTCATGCTTCCATCTGTTTGTGTCTTCAAAGGCTGCAGCCCACTGAAGAGCTCCCGTTCCCGCAGCTCTACACTAAGTTATGACATGTTGGGCTGCAGTTCATGGACAGACCTGAAGGAGGCACCAACACATATGAACTCTCTGAACCACAGATAAGAGCCATTTTTTCTGAAGCTACAGTACATGAAGGCTGCTTTCAGGCAAAGTCACTACTGAATCAATGGTGACTCACAACACCTTTTTAAAATAGGACGTTTTTGTACAAATGAATTTGAGATAACGTTTCTAACAGCTGACATTTAGGTCTACTTTTATTCAGCAAATCAAACAGTCAAATGTGTGTCAAAACAAGACAGTAGATTCATTTTTATTTTATTTTGCAGACAACAGTAAGCATTGCTATTTTCAAGTATGTTCATGTTAAGATGAAATGAAAAAAAAAATGTATTTTTGACTGGATTATCAATCACAACATTCAAACCTTTTTTGTCCATTTTAAAATTAAACTGTGAAACCAAAAGGCGTGTGTGTGTGTGTGTGTGTGTGTGTGTGTTCACCATCAGTCACACAGACTCTTTTCTGTGTGTACTAAAATAGGAGGCATAACAATTGTATGTACCTTTGTGATGCACTCAACATGCAATATTACATAAAAAAAATGTAAGGATGATGGTAAAAACAACAGTAGTATCATGCTAATAAATAAAAAAAACACCAAATAACTCTTACAGATGATCAAATACCATAAGGCTGTTAATGAATTCATGCTGAAAACATGTTTCAGGTTATAATCTGAAGCATCCTCATCCAAAACGATGAGATTAAACCTGACGAGGATATGTATGTAAAGCATAATGAAAGTTAATAAAAAGAAAAAGGTCTTTGTACATCATTTTTGACCAAAGCACATCTACAAACTCCGACAATATGCAAGGTTTATGAAGGCTCAGTATCCTCAGAGGAAATATTTATATTAAGTGTACCTTTAAATGGGTCCCATCAAACCTCAAAGAGAACCATACTGCAGAATACCTGTGTACATGTTACCGATATCACATTAGTGTCATGCTAGAGCAAAGTAGATGAAGTATAAATCAGCCCTTATAAAGAGAGGGACTGCCATGCGTTCATCTACATAATGTGTGATAGAAAATATACTTCTTAAGGCAAATACTCTCAGCAGTATTCCTTCATATTGCCGTCGGAGAGACAAAATAACATTAAGAAAAAGACTACGCTAACTTTAAATAATGTTCTTCAAAGGCAATACAAAGGTATCCATTAGCAAAAGGGGAACAAGATATTGATCATTGGTGATTCGTAATGTGCCGCTAGCAGCATCTATACCGTCCAGAAGTGTTTAAGGACATTTTTTCCACTTTGCTAATCCCCTGTTGCATAATTCAGGAGGTTTGGTGTCATGTATTCTGCGATGCTCGTCTTATTCCTTAAAGTAACTGGTATAGAAATGACTTGTGATCTGAGGGCCGCAGATTCTAATGTCACGGGAGACCTGATAGGAAAGTGAGAACACAATGTATCTCGTTATTCATTCTCTTCGTCTGATCCAAATGCTTTTCTCCCATGGAACAGATACAAAAAAGGACGGGTACAAAAAAATTGACGGTTCTTGTTCCTTATCTGTGGAAATGTTTCGCCACAGAACCTTTTTTTCCAGCTGTTTCACTGATAAATATAGTTTTTTTTTAGAACTTCAGAAAGATTTGTACTGGTCCTTAAATCATAAAGACAGGAGCAACTGATTAAAAATGGATCGCTAAAACGTTTCTCATTTTCCTATCAGCTCTTTACTATTGAATTATTTTGTGCCCCCTTTGTTTGTTGACATTACATTTATCCGGCTGTCAGTCTGTTACCTTTCTTGTCTTGTGCTGATCAGTCAACTGACAAAGGGATTTCTGTTACTAAATTTATATTTTTCCAAATTACTCAAACTTTCCCGCCCCCCAAATCATCTTCCTTTCTCCCCCTGGAAAGAGCTGAGGAGAGCAGGAAGAGTCTGTTTTTGTTTCTCATCTCTCCCATCAAAGCTGCAGCAGGATGAAGAGGTAGAGGGGGAGGAGGAGGTTGTCTATTTGAGAGGTGTAGGCTTCCAGCATGGCCACCAGAGAGATGGAGCCCACGATCCAGGAGTAGGTGGAGTTCAGATTGATGCTCCCGTCGAAGATAAGGAACATGGCCACGGCGATAATCTGGGCAAAAATAGACGTCGCAGTTCCCTCCATGGTTTTCTTAGTGCCGGGCCAACGGATCTCTCCCATGGTGCTCCCGAAAATAGACGCCACCGTGTCCCCCACCCCGACGGCCAAAACCCCGGCGTAAGGCACCAGGCCTCCTGCCCCGGGGAGGACCCCATGTGGAGCACAGGGTCCCGGGAACAACCATAAGGGTAGAGACATGCCTATCAGCAGGTAAACATGGGTCAGGATAAGAGGCCCCGAGTCCCGCTCATCGAGGAACAAAGTGAGGAGCTGCCTGAGGAGCTGACCAAACGGCATGATCCGGAAATAACGCACGTACTCCAGGAACAAGAAAACCGCCAAGCAGCCCACAGACGCCACATGGAGCAGCTGCCTGTCGTAGATCAGCCCAGGAACATACGTAGCCACCACGATGAGATGGAAGTACTTCCGCACAATCGTCGAGGCCTGGTGTTTCTTGGACCCGGATTGGCGCTGGTAGTTCTGGTGCAGCACAACGCAAGTGGCCACGGCAACCAGAAAGAGCCAGTACCCGAGCAGACACAGCCTTCTGTCGTTCAAAGTCACAAAGTCCAGCAGCCACATGAGCGGATGCCTGCCGATGAACAAGGAGAGCCACGGCATGAGGATCCCCAGACCCAGGACGGCGGTCATCATGTGGAAGAAAAGTGACGACACCCAGGTTTCCGACTCCATGAAGCAGAAGAGCAGGGCGAAGAAAACCCCCAGCAGCAGCGAGCCTACAACAATAACTGGCAGGAAGTAGTTCACAGGATCACCTTTGACCTCTGCAAGGTTCAGGGAGCGCTTGATGAGCTGGTTGACGATCAAACTGATTCCCCCGACGATAAGGAGCGCCTCGCCGGGGGTGAAGCTGCGAGGCAGGAGGTAAAGCACTATCAGGCTGAGATAAACGAAGATCAGAAGCACCTCCAAGACCTCGATGACCTCTGAAACGGTCAGCGTCTGTTTGGTGGTGTAGAGGATGGCACTTCCTGCCATACCCGCGATCACGCATGTGTTTGTGGGTACTGGTCTGGTGATTCCCAGTGCGATCAGGGACAGAAACAGAGCGAGCATCATCCCAGTAATGGTAACCACCATGGAGAAGCGTTCAAAGTAGACGTTCCCAGAGGCAGAGCACTTTTCCTTCAGCACCAGGCCAAGCAGAGGCATCACCATGGAGGCCGGCACGATGCCGCTGTTTGCCGAGGGGCGAAACTGGAACACGGCGCCTCCCGCTCGGAGAAGACGGTCCCATTTGTGCTGCACGTAGAACGCCTGGATGAAGAGGGCCACGATGCACCAGGAGTGCTGGTTCCACACGGCCGTGTGGACGCACAGCACCATGGCCAGAACCACGGCAGACTCCACGTACGCCGGGTTGATCTGCATGGCTGCAGGGGGAGGAGGAGAGGAGAGAGGGAGGGAGGGAGGGTCTGGAACAGATGGTCTGCAACATTGAAGGCCTTCTTCGGTCACTTCCTCTCGCTGACACATCATATGGCAGCTATTTTTCATTTGCTAAGGATAGAAAAGGGGGGGAAATATAAATCAGTGAGGTTCCAATTATTGGTACAGGATGTACGATACGGCACATCTGGTGACGTAAACAATTCATGTCTGATTTCTTTTCTTATTCATATCATAATAATAATCAGAACCAGAATACCTTTATTTTTCTCACAGAGGGGGGGCTTACATTGTTATAGGGAAAGTAAAGCATTATAAAAAAGTATAATTAAGAGGCATGCATAAAATATTAAAGAAACAAATAGAAATAACACAAAATACAATTTTCAAAAATACACATCCATGGATGGACAACAAAAAGTACCAGTAACAGTATTCTTTTGTAGAAGGTATAAAGTAGTGTGATAGCAGCCAGGTAACAGTAGTAAAGTGGAAGTATATATATACGTATATATCGCACAGTTATTTACAGATTTATTACAGTAGTTGAGTTGTCTAAGATATAGGAGCCAGTAATAATAATAAATATTATAATAATTACTATAATAATGTGTAATAAACAGGACAGTAGCTATTGGTTTCATCTGAATTTGAAACTACAAATTGAAATTCTTCACCAACTATCCTTTTATGATCCGTTTCTTCATGAGTCATCCTATCCTGAAAGTGAACCTTGCCCCTGCTTTTTCTGCTTTCTGCCATGAACTATGGCCACACTGAACATTCAACCAGACAGTGTGAAATGCACACACATGGTATGAATGAGGCCCCATGAGAAAGGCATGGTCTTTCTAAGCTGTATTTGTTGTAATGGTTGCAAACTTGCTAATTTGGTTATTGTATGTCTCTTTGTGGTCATTTTGCGTTTATTTCTGGTTGTATACTGTCTTTTTCTGGTTGTTTTGTGTATTGTTATGATAATTTTCGTAGTTTTGCGTCTCATTCTGACTTGTGCCCAGGCAATAACATTACATTTAAGCAGGGCTCTGGCCCAGGGGCCCACTAACCAGGTCAAACACCCGTCCATACGTTGAATGGTCTTCCAACTGGGGCTAAATCATCTATGAAGGTCTTGTAAACAGCACATAAGACGGACACACTGAAATATCCTCCAGTCATTCGTAACATCCATGCTAATAAAGCCGCGCTAGCCCTCAGCAAAGGGAGAAACTCGTCCACTCGGCGAGCCAAGGATGCTGCAACCTCGCTCAGAGAAAAACAGCCGAGTTATCAGAACGACACAGAGGCGTTTACAACCACCGCTGCAGGGCGGGAAATAAAACCAACGTTCACGAAGACGAGCATACGTACCTCATAGGTGGAGGGATATCTGGACGAAGGAGCGTGGTTACACGAGCCGGTGCCGTCCTTTTACCAGATGTATTTCCTTTGTCAGCTGTCTGCTCTCAAACGCAGAAGGAAGGGGCCATATTTGACAGCCGGGTCACGTGATGCAGCCGTAAAAATATCTCTTAAAGGCCTGGTTTGCTTTGTTTTTAATGTGTGTTTATTTTATTAAATCAATTGTTTGAATATTGTGATTTTAAGAAAGCGCATACAGTGAATTGTATCCATCAAAAATATATAGTTTTTAATAAAATGTGTTTTATACCTGAATTCTACAGGTTTTACAGGTTTCTTGTGCTTTTATTGTTTTATTTCTGTATTTAAAAAATATGATTACCTATTGTTATTATTATGATTATGATTATGATTATTATTATTTACCATGATCTTTCTTGTGCCTTCGAGTATTCATTTCTATATTCAAAATATAACCTTGTTTTTGATTTATTGGTTTTATCGCACATTTGAATTAGCTTAAATGCTCACTTTTGTTATGTATTCCCCTTGTCTTTACTTGATGGTACAGCACCTACCTACCTACTTTCCCTGTATATGGTGTTTTTTGTAAGTTTTTATTGATATTATAATTCAGTTCAGTAAAATACGTGAATAACACATGCACGAACACTCAATTAAGCCAAAAATGAAGCACTCACTGCTGTACTATCGCACCCAGGAATCCCATTGTATTCTTAATTCATCCATGGATCCATGGATGTATAATAAGAACGATTGGATCCGGTAAGGAGTCATGCACGTCCTGAAAGTGTTCCCATGTTCTAATAAAGGTTTTAGAGGAGCCTCTAAGTATTAACCTACTTTTTTCTTAATTTAGGAGAAACGATGTCTTATAATTTGTGTTAAATGTGTTAATTTAAGAGAATTTAATGATGCGTTTGGAAATCGTCGTACTTCAATATTATTTCTCTCCACAAGATGGCAGTGTGTGTATTCTGGTAACTCCAGAAATATTATCGAAGAAGGAGTTGGTGACGACCGTAATGACGACCCAGCACAACAACCAATCGCAGGTCAGGAGTGAAGATGGCGGAATCCGAGATGAGCGTCAGGTAGGCAGTTAGCAGCCAACTTTAGCTAACGTCTGCGTTATTGTTTAAATAGTTTATAAAAACGTCCCAGCGAGAAAAAAATTCTACAGAATATGTCCGTTTAACAAACCATATTGTTGGTGGAATTTATATTTTTCGGTGTGTTCCTTTTGAGTTGTTAGCGCCATGCTAACTTAGCTTAGCATGTGCTAGCAGTTGAACATTTGAATGGCTTTTCAGCGTGTGTCAGCCGCATGACAACAACAGCATGTCTGGGAAGTTCACTCTTAAACCATAAACTCTAATAAATAAAGTTTAATTTGAGCAGCAGACTCAAGTTTCTATGTTACGGTTAAAAGGAATAGTTATGACAAAAGGAAAGAGGCTAACAACGTTAGTGTTTGCATAGACAGGACAATGACTAATGTGATAGTAAAATAGGACAATATTCAATGTATAATGTCAATTGTTAGATTTCTACACTATTTATACTGTTGAAGCTATTTTTTTTATCGGATTCTGATATCGGATAAAATACTTTGATCTGTCAAGTACCTAATTTGAATACTTGACAGATCAAATACTGATGTATATATTGGGTATTATTTAGTAATCTAGAGATAAATTTATTTTCCTACTGTGAATATGTACACATTTGCTAATGTTACTTTTTTATTTTATTATATTTGTATCTTACTAAACATTTTAAATGGTGTGTAATGCTTGACAACGCTGCTCCTGTGATAATTTCCCAAACATTTCCCAATTTAAGATGAATAAAGTATCCATCTATATATATATCTATCTACCTTGATTACATATTTGGTGATTCTAACAATAAACTATATTAACACCAGTTTTATGACATCAGAATCAGATTATAGTTTATTGTCAAGTAGGTTTTCAGCTTTGCTGTATACTGGTGATACATTAACACAGTTAGTGAAATATAAAGTACAAATCTGAAGTTGTGAAATGTAACTACACATTAAAGGAAATATGAAAAGTATATCAACAAATTACTGTGAACAAATATACAGTATATATGAATAGAAGTGGAACAGCTGTGCAGTATTAAAACAAATATAATCTGACCATCTGTTTTGAAACACCTACCTTTCAAGTCCTTTTCAACCCACCTATGTCACTACAGTTTACAAATGTATGGACATGTTGATGAATACATACAAATACATGTGTCGTTGCCCTTATTAAGGCGGAACACACCTTTTTCCTTCTTTCCTTTTTGTAAAGCATTTTGAATTGCCTTGTCTTGAAAGGTGCTATATAAATAAGCTTGCCTTGCCTTTTTGTAATATACATTAATGTATTTACTAAAATATATAATCATTTTTCTCTTAGGAGCAGTCGAGAATTACATACCATATTGCTGGGAAGATCTGCATTGCGAGAGCCGGTATGTATTTTTTGCCAAACCTTCCACTGTACAGTATATATTCAAGAGTGTTCTTCTACCAAACAGTTAAAACAATTAAAGTATTGTCTTGAGGAGGTTTCAAATGCTCCTGTCAGCACTTCGATTTTTGCATTTGTAATAAACGACGGTACATAAAATGAGAAGCGATTTTATGCTTATCATGAAATGTTTGACAGGCTCAGATAGAGGCAGAGCTCGACAGACACTGGGACAGACTGCATCAAGGTCTATGTTATTACAAGCCACCCAGGTATGTTGTAATTCTTTTTGATCCTTACATAAAATCAACACTTCGTAACAACAGAAAGGATAGTTATCATCATCTCTTGTTCTAGCTCGTCCTCTGCTGGGAAAGTGAAGGAGGACAAAGACGTTGCACAACCATTGAAGGATTTTGGTCTGAGGATCAGTAAACTATTGGTAAGAAACAATTCTGTTACGTAAATGATGTGATTCACTGTCGTCATTTGGTGGTGCATTTATTTGCTATTTGTTTATCATTTTTGCAGTGTCTTGATGAGCACCAGAGTGTGCAGCTTTTACAGTGCTACCTACAGGAGGACTACAGAGGAACTCGTGATTCGTTAAAGGTCCTTTTTTTTATTGGAAATAAATCCCGAAATCTTGTGTGACATCCTACCAAAACGTCATATGCAGTTTTTACAGAAAATGATATTTTAATTTAAATCCATGTATTACCCAGTTGTTAAAGGGGATCTTTGGTGTTTTCCAATGTTGTTGGGTCTGAGATTAAGGGCAGCAATTGTTTTAATCGTTTGTGGACGTACATTGGCATATAACTGTCCAATATGATTACATTGCAGCACATTTTGTGTCAAAGTTACTCTGTAATCAATGTATAGCCCACTAATGTTGTCAGTGATAGTGTTTTTTTAGACCTGGGATTTACTGCTGCATCACTTATGCAAAGAATAACTACAGTCTCCATATTTTATGAGAAACAGCAATTGCAACATTTTTACTTTGTAACGATATTAGAGGTCCCATCATATGCTTTTCTGGTTCTGACCCGTCCCCTTGTGTGTTATGAAGGTTTCTCTGCATGTAAACGGTCTGCAGAGTCACAAACCCTCAAAGTACACCCTGTAGCGAGTAAAACTCTAACA